TGTAGAAAACGGCTGACAAAGTCATATGTGACATTTAAGATATCTGGCAGTCTGTAGTTTGAAACATTGGTCAAAATGTATCTCAAAGCAAAATTTTAATGTATGCATGTAATATGCAAGTATGAATAGTATCATTTGGAAGAACTAGGCTATTGAAAATTTGGCAATACTCAAAGATGAACATTGACAACTACTGAAATTATATCTCTGCTTTTTCTACCAGCTACACATGGTACTTTGTTTCAAAAATTGGCTGTAATCATAACTTTTGAGGCTAAAAAGAAGTCATAAAACCCATCTGCAAAACTCTGTTACTTCTTCCTGTATTTATTGAAAGACTTTAATTCAAAGTGTGCTAGCATTAAAGCATTCTTTAAAATGATGGGTGTAAATATACAGAGTTAATTTTGATTGCATGTCATATCATGAAGAATTGAAAATTATCCTTTGCAAGATTTGTATTTCAAAAGCTTAAATGCTTAATGCTAAGCTAGAAATTTACTTGTCTTTATTAATGCAGTGTTTATAATCTGAGCCAAACCCAGCACTGAATCTATGAAGCAAGAGTGCTTTCAAAGTGTTTTCATTTTTCTTCAACTATTAATTGTACAGCCTTAATATCTGTCTTTTTTTATTTTAGATTTGAGTTGTTGGGGTGTTTCGTGGTTTTGTTTTGTGGGTTTTTTTTTTCCTCCTTAGGTATGTTCATAGCAAATCTGCCCTAACACCCCTGCAAACCCCCAGCTTCCTGCCAGAACAGTGTCCCTCACAACATAATTTTCTCCCTAGGATCAGGGTGAGAGAGAACCTTGAAAGTTCATCAGCACGTGTAGTGAGTTGTGGATGGTGCTTTTTGGTATCACGAAGAGTCAGTTCAAACACTGGTAGTGATTGCAAAAGTTAATAGAAACTGTGTCACTTTGCTTGATGTGGAGTTTATTTTATTGAGGCTTTGCTGTATGTTGGCTTCTACTGATTGGTGATGTTTTGAGTATTTGCTACTTAATGATAGATGAAAAAAGTAGTAGTGTTTGGATCCATAGTAGACTTGATGGCCAAGCTGACATTACAGAAACCCAGTTGTCACAACTGATTTGAAATGGGTTATTCTGAATTCCTGAAATTGCTGTACACTGGGTCATTCTAAACATTTATTAATATCGTCAAAGGCATTAGGCTTCGGTGTAAGCATGACCCCTGTTGCAGTAATTTGCACACACTTTAAGAGGCTTTAGAAAAGACTATTATTCTCTGTTCTGTTAATGAAAGGCATTGATTTGATAATTATGAGATAGCTGCACAGACTTGTATTTGGACTTTAGCCACCTCTGTTTTTTTAAATGACTACCTAATTTTGTTTCCTGCTGGAAATAGTACTTCTAGTGGCATGTCTTGCTGGTAGCAAATCTAATTTCACTTCTAAAGTGATCCTGTAGATCTGGACTGGGTCTGTGCTGCTTGGAAACTTGTGTTCAATAAGTAAAAAATAGAAAGAAAGATGGCAGGTGGAAGGAAGTTACCAGAAATGAGAAGAAGGTTTAGAAGGTGCTGTGGTTCTCACTAGCCAATAGTCTGTGGAGTCTGGCTGGGTGCAATGCACAGTAATTTTTTATAAACCTTTGAGGCATGGTTCAAGCAACTTCTTTCAGAATCAGAAAACTCGATTTTACAGGCTATTTATCAACTCTGTATACAAGATTTTCTTTAAAACAAAGCTTCTTTCAGATTGTCACGTTGCTGTATAACTGTAGAGAGATACTTGCCAGACACTACCTCTAATCCTAACCTCTCTCTTCTTTCCCATGTGCATTTGTGCCAGCTCTGCAAATCTTAAAGAGGTCTCTTCTGATGTTGGGCTGGCTTTCCTGTTGCTTTTCATCTGCCATTTGGACTTATATACTGAATCATTTTTATCACAGATGTTTTTGTAAGCTTATTGTCCTCTGTTTATACGGCTGCTCTCAGAGACAGTAAGAGGCAATAGATAAATGATCCAATTTCACACAAATTAGACTGATAGACATGAAAACCTTGTTTGACTTCCTCTGAGCTTTGTATGTATGGGACAGAAAGGGATGAAGAGAGCAGAGGGCTTGTGGGCATATTCGGGAGAGGGAAGAAGATATGTAAGGATTTATCAATGACTCTAAAAATCACCTAGTAGTTTCTGTAGGGCAACCATGTTTCGTGTTGTTCACCTCCATGCTGATGAGCTTTAGAAGCTGCAGTGGCTCACTCTAAATCTGGGGATTTCTCTTTCTTTTCTCCAAGGAGCAAAATCTGCCAAATACATACTTTTCCACCCAGTGGGAGAGAAGGGATGACACCTCACCACTTGTTGCTGCATGATGGTGTTGAGTTTGTGGCGGCAAGGAAAAAGCCAAAACACAGAAAAGGCAAGGGCCTAACTTAAAATTAACTCGTATTCCTATTTGTATGTTCAAATCTGCTCAAGTATTGCTCAGTACACACCCAGGTCCTATACCTGAACATTGCACATACAAAAATACTACTTTTTCCCCCAATATGTCTGTCTTAAAATAAATTCCTTCTTGGCTTCTGAAGACAGATGCTGGAAATAGCAGTTATTTTTGCAGACAGCAGGAGGGATGCAGGAAATAAGGGTCAAGAGTACCTGCTTCCTTTTGCTTTCAAAACAAGAAAATTCAAGGCTTGATACAGTGGAAGAAACTAAATACCAGTATTTATTTCTTTGCTTCCTCTGTTTCTCTTAACCATAACTTTTTTTACCCTGCCATATTCACTAACATATTTTTTTTTTATTTTCTTCCCTGCATTTGAAGTAAGCCGAGCTTGTCCATTCCCTTCTTAGTTTGGAAACTTTGAACTATCTCAGGTCTCTAGTAATGCAGCAGCCCCCAAATCGCCAGTTATCTATTGTCTACTCTGAAAGCTGTCTTTTTTTATTTAATGTTTTGGATCTTTCCAACCCTAACTCTGAGGTTCTACATTTGAAACTCTCGTACACTCGCGTCCTTGCACAAACTCAAAAAATACATTTGCGATAAGTAAGGACCCTTCACAGACACTCACCACCAACTGCAGAAGTGGAGCCAGGACAGAGGTGTGCAATCTTTTGCATCTGTAAGCGCTCTCCACTCTTGCTCCTCCTGCTGGAATTCTGCAGGGCATGGGAGCAACGCTGCCTTGGAAAAAGAGGTAAACTGGAGTTGTGCGAGCAGCAGGGGCCAGCGTCTCTGGCATTGCCAGTTGTGATATTTTAAGATTTGTCTCTGTGACAGTGACAGTGATCAGTGTTAGGAGTGGAAAGGAGAGAGTCTCGTCACTAGTTTTTATAAAGTGCTTTGTATTTTGGGGGTAGACAGTCAAGCCAGTGCTTTCTGTTTATCACCAGGATACTATTGAATTAGGCTGCTCGAATTTAGCTCAGACGGCTACTGGGACACTGTTACTGCTGCCTGAGTGCCGCTTACCCACCCAGTGTTTGGTTGGCTCAGTCTAGCTCCGACTGCTTTACAAAGCCCTTGTGTTAGGACTAATTGTTTACTCCTGCGGTTGGCAAAATGTAAGTATTGAGTTGACTTCTCTTGCATTTGTAGGGATAACTTTCTAGGGCATAATTCCAAAACAGCGTGGGAAAATGTGTACTGCTAATATGTGATTACAGGTGACTTGCAAACGAACTCTTCAGTCTCCAAAGTTGTATGTACGTTTGTGAAAGGAGTAAATCCTTTTTTAAAACATTTGCATGGCTGACTAGAGCTAGTAAAATTATCCCTCCCTGATTTCCAAAATAAACAAGCGGCATTTGAGAAATTAGTAAAGCCTGTTAAGTGAAATTAATATTATAATCTAATCTTGCAGCAGTATCATTATTATTTATTGGGAGACTTGAAAGCAAGATCATAGATAATGTCTGAGTGTAAATTTGGGAATGTTTCCCCCCCTTTAATTCCAGGCTGTTCCACTTTTAAAAAGTAATCTGTTTGCCTATGTTAGTACCCCATATAAATTAACACCCATGCCATTGAAACCAGAGGTGAAGTGGTTGCCAATCAGAAATTTGTCTCTTTGAAGAAGCGCTATCAGTGTCAGAGCTGCTGTATGTGCATAAGCAGGTGAGACAAAGCTGAGGACTTGGTTTCTAAGTGACAGTTTCCATCAGAGCTGTGCACTGACGCTGTTTCCTCACGCTGTGCAAGAGACTGTGAGCTCAGCATGACCTGAGTTTCTTCTCAAGCCAATGCCAGCTGAGGGTTGCCAGAAGCAGGGATATGAAACAGCTCATGAGATCTGAAATATAATCTTACCCCTGAGAATTACAATTATTCTACAGTAACTAATTTGTTCGTGTACGTGCCTGAGTGGATGCTAGTGTAAGTCCCTGGCAGGGCTATATCCCTGGAGCTGCTTTATTGATCTCCTGAACTTGGGAACCGCAGTTGGTTTTTTTCAGTCCAAGGCTTGATCCAAAGGCCATCTCAGAATTCTTTGAGTAGTCATACAGCCTCCTTAAGAAGTTGATATAGGCTGCTTTGGGAATGTGCAAGAGGATGTTTTTTGTGCACAATTGTCATGGAGGTGACATCTCTGGTGGGATGGGGAGGAAAATCAGAAGAAAAAGGTAAAACTCGTGGGTTGGGTTAAGGACAGTTTACTAGGACAGCAAAGGAAGAGGAAAATAAGACCAACAGTACTTAGAATATACCAAGTAGGTGATACACAATGCAATTTGCTCACCACCTGGCCAGCTCTCCCCATGTGCTGAGCATAACGTCATGGTATGGAATACACCTTTGGCTAGTTTGAGTCACCTGTCCTGGCTGTGTCCCCTCCCAGCTTCTTGTGAAAATTAACTCTGTCCCAGCTGAAAACCAGGACATTATCCAGTCCTTATTCTATACCATCTACATCATACCAAGATCCTACACTTTTAAATTAATCACCACCACTTTTCCTGTCTTTGATATATATCAAAATATATTTTTATATATATATGCAGATATCATCCCCTTAGGCTATGGGCCAGCCCACTGAAATGTCCATTGAGTTAATTTAATCCATGACTTTGGGCTCCATCTGTCATAATAGTCTTTCAGGGCATGGAAAAGACTGTGCTGTTGGATTGTTGCGTGCTGCATCCAGAGCTCGTGGCTGGTGTATCTGGCACAGCCCGTGCCCATGGTCTGTGGGTTGAAGATGTCAATTCTCATGAAGTTGCTAGATGCCAGTTGCTAAAGCCAGTTCTAGTTCCATCATCGCTGCATTTTGCTTGGTTTCATCAAAGTTCATCCTTCATTAATTTGGATGATTTTTACTGTAATACCATTGATATAGCATATAGCAATTGTAGTAGTTTTAACATACAGTGGTTATTTAGCAATCAACATAATACAATTTAATTCATTGGCTATTCTCAACCAAAATCAAATCACCTTGAGGTTCACATTGGACTTCCCCATCCCCACCAAGTGCACCCATGGATGAGTTTGCCTTTGCCTGAAGCAGGGCTAACCCAGACTGTCTTCCCCCACATATTCTTCATGTGTGCTATGGGGACTTTATCCCCTTCTACAGTACATGGAAATTTTGATTGGGCAGGGCCAGCTTGATTAGCAGACCCCCTAGTGTTAACTAACCATATGGCCTTTGCTAAATGTGTATCCCAATGTTTGAGGGTCCCACCACCCATTGTTCTCAGTGTAGCTTTTAGCAGTCTATTGCATCATTTGATTTTCCTGGAGGCTGGTGCATGACAGGGGTTGTGATACACCCACTCAATGCCCAGGTGGCTCTTTGGCCCAGGTGTCTATGAGGTTGTTTTGGAAACGAGTCCCATTGTCTGACTCAATTCTTTCTGGCGTGCCATGTCACTGCAAGACTTGATTTTTTTCAAGGCCCAGGATAGCATTCTGGGTGGTGGCAAGGGGCACGGGATATGTTTCCAGCCATCCAGTGGTTGCTTCCACCATTGTAAGCACATGTCCTTGTCTTGACGGGTTTGTGGGACTGTGATATAATCAATCTGCCAGGCTTCCCCATATTTATATTTCAGCCATCGTCCTCCATACCACAGAGGCTTTGTTTGATCACAGTGCATGTTTCACGTTCATGGATAACCTGAGCAATAGCATTAATGGTCAAGTCCACCCCTTGATCATAAGCCCATTAATTTTTTGCATCCCTTCCTTTCCTGAGGTGTCATGGGCCCACTAAGCTATAAAAAGTTGCCAATCCAAATCCACCTGAGCCACTTCAATCTTAGTAGTCTGATCCACCTGCTGGTTGTTTTGATGTTCCTCAGAGGCCCAACTTTTGGGTATATGGGCATCTATGTAACGTACTTTTACAATTAGGTTCTCTAGCTGGGCAGCAATATCTTGCCACAATGGGGCAGCCCAGATGGGTTTGCCTCTGTGCTGCCAGTTGCTCTGCTTCCACTGCTGTAACCATCCCCACAGGGCATTGGCCACCATCCATGAGTCAGTATAGAGGTAGAGCACCAGCCACTTTTCTCAATCAGCAATGTCTAAAGCCAACCAGATGGCTTTCACAAACTGGCTCAATTCACCTTCTCCTTCAGCACCTTCTGTGACTTGTTGTGTAGGACTCCATACAGCAGCTTTCCACCTTTGATGCTGTCCCACAATGTGAAGGCCCCATCAGTGAGCAGGGCATGTTGCTGCTTATTTTCTGGCAGTTTATTATACAATGGGGCCTGTTCAGCATGTATTACCTCCTCCTCTGGTGAAATTCCGAAATCTTTGCCTTTTGGCACAGATCAGTCTGTGATCACTTCCAGAATTCCTGGGCGATTGGGGTTTCCTATTTGAGCCTGCTGTGTGATCAGTGTGACCCACTTACTCCACATAGCATCAGTTGCATGATGTGTAGAGAGGACCTTCTCTTTGAACATCCCTGGAAGTGTTCAAGGCCAGGTTGGATGAGGCTTTGGGCAACATGGTCTAGTGGAGGGTGTCCCTGCCCACAGCAGGGGGGTTGGAACTAGATGATCTTTAAGGTCTGTTCCAACCCAAACCATTCTATGATTCTATGATCCAGCCCAGTACTGGAAGTCAGGGTGCCAGGAGGAGCTGTGCTTCAGTACCAACCACCTCTGAAGCAGCTCCAACCCCTTCATATGTTGCAGTATCTCCTTTTCAGTTGTAATGTAGTAGGTCTTGGATCCTCTGTATCCCCAACTCCCGAAACCCATAGGCTGACCTTGAGTCTCCCCTGATGCTTTCTGCCAGAGACTCCAGGTAGGGCCGTTCTCGCTGGCTGCAGTATAGAGCACATTCTTTACATCTGGTTCTGCCCAGACTGGCCCAAGAGCTACTGCATGAACTATTTTCTCTTCAATTTGTTCAAAAGCTTGATGTTGCACAGGGACCCATTTGAAATCATTCTTCTTCTGGGTCACCTGATAGAGGGGCCTTACAATCAGACTGTAGTTTGGAATATGTATTCACCAGAAAACCACAACACTCAAGAGAGCTTGTGTTTCCTTTTTGCTAGTTGGTGGAGACATAGCTGTTATTTTGTTGATCATATCCATTGTGATCTGACGATGCCAATCTTGCCATTTCATTCCTAAAAACTGGATCTCCTGTGCAGGTTCCTTGACCTTACTTCATTTTATGGCAAAACCAGCTTTCAGAAGGATTTGGACTATTTTCTTCCCTTTCTCAGATGACTTCTACTGTGTTGCCCCATACAATGATGTTGTCAATGTATTGCAGATGTTCTGGAGCTTCACCGTGTTCTAGTGCAGTCTGAATCAGTCCATGGCAAATGGTGGGGCTGTGTTTCCACCCCTAGGGCAGTCAGTTCCAGGTGTACTGGATGCCCCTCCAAGTGAAAGCAAACTGTGGCCTGCATTGTGCCACCAAAGGGATTGAGAAAAATGCATTAGCAATATCAGTTGTGGTGTACCACTTGGCTGCCTTTGACTCCAATATGCATTGAAATTCTAGCATGTCTGGCATGGCAGCACTTATGGGTGGTATGACTTTATTCAGGCCACGATAGTCTACAGTCTGTCTCCACTCTCCATTAGACTTCTGCACTGGCCATATGGGACTGTTAAAGGGTGAGCGGGTTCTGCTGATCGCTCCCTGACTCTCCAGTTGACAATTAGCTTATGGATGGGAACCAGGGAGTCTCAGTTGGTGTGGTATTGCCACTGGTGCACTGTTGTGGTAGTGATCGGCACCTGTTGTTCTTTGACCCTGAGCAACCCCACAACAGAAGGGTCCTCCGAGAGACCGGGCAAAGTAGACAACTGTTTAATTTCCTCTGACTCCAAGGCACCTACACCAAAAGCCCACCAGTACCCTTTTGGGTCTTTGAAATACTCTCTCGGGAGGTAGTCGATGCCAAGGATGCACGGAGCCTCTGGGCCAGTCACAATGGGGTGCTTTTCCCAGTCATTCCCAGTTAGACTTACTTCAGCCTCCAGTACAGTCAACTATTGGGATGCCCCTGTCACTGCAGAAATACAGAAGAGTTCTAGTTCTTCATGGCTTGATGGCATTAAGGTACACTGTGCACCAGTGTCCGCTAGAGCCTTGAATTCCTGGGGGTCTGATGTGCCAGGCCATTGGATCCACAGTCAAACCCGGTTGTCCCTTTCTGCCATCTGGCTGGAGGCAGAGCCCCTCCTGGTCATCATATTTGTTACTCACTTCTTGTAAAAATTACTTAGAAGTCCCTTCAAGAGGATCATAAGTACAATCAGGCTGTCCACTTGCTCTGGGGGACTGCCTGCTGGAAATGGGAGCAGCATTTTTCCTGGAAGAATCCCCTTTTGTGATTGTTTTTCTTTGCAACTTATGTACTCATGCCTGTAGGGTTGAGGTAGGTTTTCCATCCCACTTCCTCATGTCCTCTCTGTGGTCACATAGGTAAAACCATAGGGTGCCTCATGGTGTGTACCCTCTATATCCTCTCTTTTGAGCAGAGGAATGCTAATTCCTAACAGCTGAGATACTGGTCCATACAGGTGGGGAGTAGGACATATCCTCTTTGGATTGCTGGACTTTCCGGAACAGTTTCTCCACAGCCAAGATCAGGAAGGAGGAGAGACTTTCTTTGTATTGCCACAGTTGATCAGCCACCTCATCCACCGTTGGTGCCTCTTTGCCTTTCCAGTCCATTACTGCCAATGAGTTGACATACGACGATGGTGCACTCCATACAAACTTCCGCCACATGGCTTGGGTACATTGGACTTCATCAGGATCCGTGGGTAACTGCGTGTTGTCTGGGTCATAATAAACCATCTCCTGCATGACTAATTCCCTCAGGTACTGGATACCTCTCTCCATGGTGGTCCACTTGCCTGGATGACATACATCTTCACTGAAGGGGTACTTTTCCCTGACGTTTGAAAGAAGTCACCTCCAGAGGCTGAGGGCTTGTGTCTTTTTCCCAATTGCTTTGTCAATGCCCCCTTCCCTAGACAGGGATCCCAGCTGCTTGGCCTCCCTACCCTCTAATTCCAGGCTACTTGCCCCGTTATCCCAGCATCAGAGCAGCAAGGTAATGATGTGCTGCCCTGGAAGGCGACTGAAATCTTTCTGCGCATGTCACAGCTCACTCAGGGACAGGGATCAGGTGATTACTTCTGGTTCTGGCTCTTCTTCCTGTTCTTGTGATGGTTCAGGTTCATCGTCATCCCTTACTAAATGACCTGCTTTTTTTTGTGTATCTGTTCTTGCGTATAGGGGTGACTGATACCAGTATGGGTTGGTTTTTTGGTTCAGCTGCAGTGCCTGTCACAGGGGTTGGAGTAGCTGCAGTGCCTGTGGGTCTGTTTTCTCTCTCTTCCCCCTGATGGCACTGCCTACTATCAAGCAGTGTTTGGTAGATCGTGGCCAGGGCCCAGCACAGTGCAGTAAGTTGTGCCTCTTTGGAATAGCCACAGCATTTTCCTTTCAAATATTCTATGCCTTTATCAGGCTCCTATAGTAGTTTGGGAGTGAAATTCCACACCATTGTGTGCCTGTGGGTCTGTTTTCTCTCTCTTCCCCCTGATGGCACTGCCTACTATCAAGCAGTGTTTGGTAGATCGTGGCCAGGGCCCAGCACAGTGCAGTAAGTTGTGCCTCTTTGGAATAGCCACAGCATTTTCCTTTCAAATATTCTATGCCTTTATCAGGCTCCTATAGTAGTTTGGGAGTGAAATTCCACACCATTGTGGGTGAGAAGTTCTCTAGATACCTGCCCATACTCTCCCACATGCCATGCCACCCATGACTCTCCAGCCTTGGGGCAGATCTCTGGGTGGTATTCTTAAAACAATTGTTTGTAACCCTAAACAAGACCTGGAACACATTCAGGAGACATAGCAATAAGAGCATGCTGACTTGGACATCCCAAGGGTGTTCAAAATTCTCAAAAGCTGTTGTAACCAGCCTGAAGGAAAAAGGGGAGGTGAAAGAGCGGGGGAAATTAGCCCCCACCTCCCCCCCCTTCCCCATAGATTGGGTGTGATTATTAATCAATTCTGAGAGGTGTCATCCGAGGTATGGGCATGAAAGCAATGCCACATACAAATACCAGCTTGACCTCATGACCAGTGATGTTATCATATCATAAGTTGATATCACACAGTACAACAAAATGAGAATCATGATACCTCTCACAGAGGTGACAAACAGCACCACAGGGAACACATACAGCAGGTAAGGGTTTACATATCACAGCCATGTGAACAAACAAAACAAACACCACTGTGACCAGCGACTATTTACCTAATATCATAAATGCATATAACAAATTTGTTTTAACATGCTCTGGGCAGATCTGTAGTTATCTCAGCCCTTTGTGCCCCACATTGGGTGTCAAAAAGGACTGTCGTGGTTTAGCCCCAGCCAGCAGCTCAGCACCACAGAGACGCTCATCCACTCCTTGCCCCCCCGCTCCCTGTGGGATGGGGAGGACAACTGGAAGAAAAAGGTAAAACTCATGGGTTTAACTCATGGGTAAAAACTCCTCATAAGGACAGTTTACTGGGACAGCAAAGGAAGAGGAAAATAACAACAGTACTTATAACAGAATATACAAAGTGGGTGATACATGATGCAATTTGTTCACCACCTGGAGTCTGATGCCCAGCCCATCCCGAGCAGTGATGCCTCCTCCCCAGCCAGCTTCTCCCTTCTATCCGGAGCATGACATCATGGTATTGAATATTCCTTTGGCTAGTTTGGGTCAGCTATTCTGGCTGTGTCACCTTACAGCTTCTTATGAAAATTAACTCTCTCCTAGGTTAAAACCATTTCCACCCTCCCTACACTAGCATGAATAGTGTAGACCTGTCAATATAGTAAAGCAAAATTCATGAAATCACAAACATACAATTCTTCTGTGTCATGGTTAATGGAACATAGGCTAATTGACTTAGGCAGAGGTGTTAGCAATTTTCCCCCTCTCCGAAAGGCTGTAGATTGAGTCAAAGTGCACATAGCTTGCTGACTCTTCTGGGTGACGTGGTTGATCCTGTGAGACTTGGCATCCCAGGAAAATGTTGTAAGGAGCATTTAGAGAGAATTCCAGCAAAACCAGATCCTTTTCAAAAGCCATGAATAGAATATTGCCATTCAGAAACTTTGATAACAAGAAGTTTGAAAAAAAGACAAAAAAGAAAAAAGATTAAATATGACTCTGAAGGCACACAGCAAGTTGAAATTGATCTGAACTGCAGCTTCACTGAACTGACGGTGACATGACTCAAGTACGTATGACAAGCTGGGATCTTCAGTACTGAGACACGGAGCACATGCAGGTAATAATGTGCTGTCCATATGGAGAACTATTTTCATTTAAAAGAGTATCTGGTGAATATCCTTCTCCACCTGGAATTTCTTTAAACACAGGAGGGGAAGCTCAACCCCCTCAGGGCTGATGCAAGCAAGATCACTTTGGGTGCTGAATGAGTGGTGCCATGACATTGAATCTTGACCAAGTAGCCGTGCTGAAGACTTGTTGGATGCATGTGGATGGATTGACATATTTGGTGTTTCTGCCAGTGTAGAGCTCTGAAGATTATAGTCTCTAGAAGAAGAGGTGATAAGGCACTGAAGGCTATTAAAAGGAAAATATCTGGTAAAAAGCTCACCCATGCCGCTTGATGTTAGCGACCATCATGTGTTTCTTTTACTTTATAGACCTTAGTTCTATGAGACAGGCAGCAATTGCTTTTGAGTTGGGAAACTTCACTGAGGAAATAAGCCACTTGTTTTCCACAATTCAGAAAACTAATTCCTGAGTTTACCTTGTAGGAATTTTGTCAGATTCAAAGGCTGAAGTTCTCGTAGCAAGTCAGTTGCATGCCTTGTTGATTGTCTCTGCTGAGAACCATCTTCACAAAGATTCTGGGTTCCTCTGTTGTAAGTTTTCTGAAAAACCTACAGGGAGATCATTGAGGATAGACTGACTATTCTTAACTTCATGTCAGTGGTGTTAAGCCCTGTGCCATCTGGGGAATATCCTTGTATTGCTTAGTTGTCCAGGTAAATGTTGAACTGGCTGCCTGAATTCACAATGAGATTCTGCTGAGCATAGCAGCAAAGAATGAAAAACTTCTGCACATGACTTCAGAGTTTTTCCATCATTTCATCTCTGTGACAAAATGAAATGGGATCACGGCTGCTAATTTTTCATTCACTAAAGGCTTTGCCAGGGAATAGATGGAACTCTCACAGAATTGGAGCAGTAACAAATGAGCCCGGTAACACACATATGGACTTAACATAGGGCCTAATAGTGTGGTACATTTATACCGCTGCAGCTGGGTGAAATTTTTTGAAGCATCAGCGTTGCATAGAAAGGGACCCAGCAGGAACAGAGTCACTGATCTGCCATTGGTTAGAGCCATAATGAATGCCTAATAGGATTTTTTTTTTTTTTCCCTGCAGATTAGCAGGAAGCTTAGCAAGAAGGAATAAATAATGGTGCAAATTACAGGATCGTCACTGTCTCTTTCCAGGGTATCAAATCATCTGGGTAAGAGTGTGAATGCCTGTCTTTGGAAGTGGGATGCCCACTGCTGCTAGTGCTTGGGGAACACTACAAAACCCAAGCAGGATCCAAATGCCAACAGGTGGTTCTAGTGATGTTTGGTTTCGATTTGTCAGGAGACCCAGCTAAGCAGTCCTAAGGCAATGAGGAAGGGGCAAAGTGCTGCTGGAAGTACACCCACCATGACTCAAAGTCCATGAGCTTGGAGGGATGGTGACATTTGCCCCATCCTGCCACCCCGAACCTGCAGCAGTGTCTTTGCACCTGGTCATGTTCTTCAGGCTGGAATTGAGCTCTGCTCTGTCACAAGGGAGTCTTGGGAAGGACAAGCAAAGGCAGAAAGCAGTTCTTGTGTAATGGCACTCAGATATTGCAGGCCGGTGAGTCTGTTGAGGCTGAGCCTCATGGCTTGTGGGCCACGACAGCCATGATGGGATGGGGCAGTCTCTGAAAATGGTGGCATTTGGGGGAGATGTTCCACGTCCCACTACAGAGGCAGGCTGCCAGTTTGCACCTTCTTTCTTAGGGATGCTCTTAAATGAACAGTTGGAAAAAAAACAACTCGTTGTAGGGTCTCTGAAGAGAGAAGTAGCTAGACCTCTGGCTTGGTTTTGTGAAGCTACTAGAAGCTGAGAAGAGGTGAGAGGGGGATGCATCTCCATCCTTTTTTTGTCATGGAGGAGCACAAGAAACACAGAACATTAGACCTTGTCACACAGGACAGTAATACATGTAGGATTAAAAAAGAAAAAAAAATGAGTTATGTGCTTACTGATGTACTGCAAGGAGAATGCTTACTGGATGTCATAACAAACTGCATCTTTAGGTTATTATTTTTTTTTAAGAACAGGACCATCAGTACTTATTAATTTAGTAGTTTGCCTCAGCTAATGCTTTCAGGATCTATTTCCTACAAATTAAGAATACATGCATTACTATGGGAATATACAAGAAGGTACTTATTTAAACAACAATATTCTTATTTCAGGCTCCTTTCACTTTGTATTAAATATAAATGAATGCTAAAAGATGACATTTCATACCATATGAGGCTGATGACACAAATCCTGTCTCAGGGTGGTTTTTATTCCACATACTTTTTGATTAACAGCTTTTGTAGTTCAAAGACTCCTGTCAGAACTTTGATGTGGGGAAACCTGCTGTGTTGTCATCTCTGGATAGTAGAAGTAAATCACAGTGAATGCAGGTTGGTGCTGAACACCTATTAGTAAGCTGCAGGCAAAGATTACTTGTAAATAAACAAATG